TATTTCCATGATGACTTATGCTTTTTGTCTTTAATAAATCCTCCCTAAATTTAATAAATCATATGTCTACTAAGTTTAAAAATAACTTAGTTTCAGCCTCCACATTTTAGCCATAATCCACCTGAACCATGTTAGTGTCCAGTGGCGTAGGTTCATCTCATTTAAAATTCTTTCTTCCTCACTCATCTTAAGGTGCTCACACTCATAGGATTTCTTTCTGGAACCTCAGTTCTGCCCCATTAATATGACCTTTCTTCATATGTTAATAATATATATTCTGTCTCCTACAGAGTACTACACATCTGTTATGGTATTTCTAGGCAGGGCCCTGGAGAAGTGAGAGTAGGGATCTCATACACAGGGTTGAAGCCCTTATAAAAGAGACCCATGGGAGCTTCCTTCTACTTCTCCCCTGAGGACACTGTGAAAAGATGTCCTCTAAGAACTAGGAAGAGAGAGCTCACAGGACAGTGAAGTTGCCTGTGCCAAGGTTGTACACTGGCCTGCCTGTGAGTTATAGGGATATGGGTTTTTTTTTTTTTTTTTTTTTTTTTTTTTTTTTTTTTTTTTTTTTTTTTTTTTTTTTTTTTTTTTTTTTTGGTAATGCACCAGGTCTATGGTAATTTGTTACAGTAGCAGGAGTTAGCCGTGATGCTCTATAAATGACCTATTAGAGTGGTATAAGGATTGACAGTCTCTGGAAAAGTCACTTTCCTTCTTTTGCAGTTATCTTGGTGTGTCTTCATCTTGATGTTACTCTTCCATGTTAAATTCAAAGAGCATCTGATCAGTTTCCAACAAAATTCTACTTGCAAGTTTGGTTAGAATCGGTTTGAATCTGTAGATCAACTAGCTGAAAGGGAGACCTTATATTTTTATGGTTAGCCTCCCGGTCTATTAGTATGGTCTATTGCATGGTGCGTTCAAGTCCTTAGTGTCTTTCTGTAAAGAGCTTATGCTATTGGATGGAGTTTGGTGCTGGGTGGTGGTGTGTGCTTGTCACCCGCAAGCCCTGGTTCAGTCCCCTGTAAACCTCCCACCAGATTGTTGACATATGATCCTAAAGACCTTAAAATCTTTGGTCAGGTGTTTCTAGATGCATTTTTATGTTCTCATAGTTGTTTTTGTTCAGTTTAATTGTACTTTGAAACAGTTGCTGCTGCTCTATAGAAGCATAGAGTGAAGTGATTTGCTCGGTAATTTCCCACTTATTTATTCTGACAAGTAGGTTCCATTGGATTGTCTGCAAAACTGTTGCTAACTTGGTCTTATTACACTTTTTCCTCTTTCTGTTGAGGTCATGATATAAGTTTCCCCACAGTCCACTTTTGTTCTTGAGCTGAGTTGAGATGGAAAAAGAAAGCATGAGGAACCATCTGGCTTTCATGGGATGTCCAGACAGCCCAGCATCTCAGGTGGCCCTGCATGTGACATGTCACTTAAGCAGTTGATTGGCATCTGGGAACTGAGGTATCCAAACCAGAGATGTGAGGACAAACCCACAGAATCCCACAGAACCCCACAGAAATGAGTAAGCAACTGGGCTGATGGAGGTCATCCCTATGAAAGAGGGAGGCCCAGAGCCCTGGGGGGCCTGTGTACTGGGAGAAAGGGGACACCAGGGGAGGCAGCTCGGGGCGTAGACTCTGAGACTGCAGAGCCTGTGGGACTAAAGATGCCAGCTCTAAATGGCACAAAGGCCTCTAATACTGGGCGGGAACAGCAAATCTGAGGGAGGCCTCAAGGGCAGAGGACGGAGGGTGAAACGGAGTGCTAGCCTCATGTCAGTCCTGCTCTAGTTACAGCCACATGTGGGACAGTTTTAACTGCAAATGCATGTGGTCATTACTAATCCAGAAGCACAACAGTAACAACAACAAAATAATCAGATATTTACAGGCAAACACTTACTGACAGGGTGTGGTGCCCACTTGATATCCAGAAGTAGATATCATGATCAAAGTTTGTTTAGAGTGAGGAAGGCTTACTGTAATTTTTCTTCTGTGAATCAACATTAACCTAGCATATCAAGGCCCAAGCCTTTTCAGGTCATTCTAAGAGTTCAGCTGAATGATTATTCAAATGCCTGTTAAAAAATTAAATGGTAGCTGCATGTGTGTGCATGTACCTGCAATCCCAGGCTGAGAAGGAGGATGAGATGGGAGAGCAGCATGAACTACAGAGGGACACTGTCTCGAATACAGAAACCAGAACAAATTAGCTAACTAATTAGAGCATGGGAAGGGGGAAGTTCGTGTGGAGGAAAACCCTTATCTCACCCGATACCCAGCGCCATCAGGGGCTATGCGGACACTTCCAGGTCTTGGACAGACACTGGATGGATCCTCCTGCATGACTCGGATGATCATCTCATCGAAAATCTCTTGCCAACACTAATAAAAGATATGAAAGCCAGATAAGAGATTCAGGCCATTTCAAACCCAAAGCATTCAGTCTGTGCTTCTCTTAGTTGACTTTTCTGTTCTTACACCACAGTGAGAGGTTCTGAAACTGCAGACCCGGATGTAGCTAAACAAGGGTCCCTCTCATAATCTCTCTATAGCTCAAGTACTTTTCTTAGTTGTCAAACACGACTTTTAAAACAGCTACATTATAATCTGAATCATTTTTCTCCTTACCCTTCCCTAGAGTCTACAGTGACAGAAGAGGTGGGGTCTGAAAAGCTCCCGGGCAGTCAGGAAAGGCCAGCTTCGGACATACACTTAGACTCTGATATCGAGAGGGATGAAGAACATGGCCTAAGCAGGCAGCAGTTCATGTTACCAGCAGCCTCCAGGCTGGGTCTGAATCAGGGGTGCTGACAGCAAATGGAAAGTCTAAGTTTGCCTGGAGACACAGGGAGGGTTGTGGGGGGAGCTGCTATTCCTCATGCAGTGGGCAGGGAGAGTGTCGGGTGTGCCCAAGCTCCCACCCTGCACAGCCAAGGGTGGGGAGCATTGCTGTGCAGAGATCCAAGGTGGGCTGAACCTTCCCCCAGCCTGTGAGGAAAACATAGCTTCGAGGGGACTTGGAAGAAACTGAAGCAGAGCTTTTGCAGGTTTTAAGAAAACAAATAGTAAAATTTGTGGGAAATTGTTTTTCAGTAACTGATGCCTTGGCGATGTGGTACACACTGAAATCACACCACCTTGGGGAAGAGACAGGAGGGTCATTGTTAGACACAGTGGGAAAATATTCCCTTCTCATCCTCTCTCCTACTTACTCTGGCACAATGCAGTCACTGCTTGGATGTCTTGTGTATTTTATGCATATTTAAGGAAGCGAGTACATTTATTATGTACACTCACCATTCTCTTTATACCTACTGCTTTACATTTAACATATGCGTTGGAGACCACTTCATATCAATACACCAAGAACTGTAGCTTATATCAGCAGTAGAGCATAACTTCGTACTTTTCCCTGACATTTATCTGGTATTTACTTCTTCTTTTTTTTTTTTTTTTTTTGTTTTTTTTTTTTTAAAGAGGTGAGTGCCTTAGCCTTCCAAGTAAGTGGGATTATAGGTGTCCTTAATTATTATAGTTTTGAAGTCATAAAGTATGGGTTCCCCAAATTCATTTTTTTTTGTGGTCTGATTGTTCTTTATTTTATATCTAGAATCCACCAATGAGTGAGTACATACCATAACTGTCTTTCTGGGTTTGGGTTACCTCACTCAGGATGATTTTTTCTAGTTCCATCCATGGTATTTACTTCTAAAGGATAAGAACTCTTTTGAGAAACTAAAACCATAATACTATATCCCCAGTAAACTTTATTTCTTCTTCTTCTTCTTCTTCTTCTTCTTCTTCTTCTTCTTCTTCTTCTTCTTCTTCTTCTTCTTCTTCTTCTTCTTCTTCCTCCTCTTCCTCTTCCTCCTTCCTTCCTTCCTCCCTTCCTTCCTTCCTTTCTTTTTCTTTTTGGTTTTTCAAGACAAGGTTTCTTTGTGTAGCCTTCAATGTCCTAGAACTAGCTCTGTAGACCAGGCTGGCCTCAAACTCACTGAGATGTGCCTGCTTCTGCCTCCTGAGTGCTGGGATTAAAGACATACACCACCACTGCCCAGTTCTCCAGTGAACTTTTTAGCAGTGACTTCCTAACACCTCCACCTATCTAAATTAAATTCCAAGTAAGTTTTTAGAAGTATGCATCTTTGCATCTGAATCTTAATAAGACAAGCACATTGAAGTTGGTTATACATCTTTTAGACAGTCCTTAATTCTTAGGCTACCCTTTCTTTATGTTCATTGAATCATAATTATTGAAGATCCCAGGTCACTCTAGGGTAGTGCTCCCTATGGATGTCTCAGGCTGACAGCATCTCTGTGTTCTCTGGGTAGTGGTGTGGCACAGGCAGTGTGTAGTTTGCTGGGTCCTTTTACTAGGAAGTACGCTGCCTGTCCTTCTGTAAGCCTAGTCCTAGTTAATTGTTTGGACACAGCAGTGGTAGTTATTTTAGAAACAAAATGTACCCTCCTGAAGATCTCCATGACCTTTGTGAGAGATGCCAGTTACAGAAATGCATGCACTGGAATGGCAGATTCCATGTCATCTTTCCCTGTTACAAGAAACATGTTTCCATTTTGTTCAGTGGCTTTTCACGCCACACAGCTTGCGTTTTCCTTCTGGGCAGGAGAAGCTTTACAGTTTAGAAGGCAGATGCACATGGTCTGCTGATCATTTACTTTGGAAACTAAATACACAGTTTGGGCTGCTGCCATGTATTAAATCGGGGATCCTCCTGACTTGGTGAAGTTGCAGCAACCCTTCAGGATCCTCAGTTGTAGGAGGTTCTGAGCAGCAGCCTTGTCTACTCAGAGACATCTCCTTCCTTTTTCATCCTGTCCGAGAATGAGGGGCTGACCCTGGTCACCTGCAGGACAGCAGGAGCTGGACCCCACAGGTGCTCACAAGCCACAGAACCTCACAGCAAACCACCTCTTCCTAGTCTGGCCCCAGAGCTAGGAGCCAGGGGGCAGTGACTGGGGAGAGTGGGCGGGGCGAGCTAGGCTCTGCCCCCTCTGTTACTTTACTCAGCCTGGCACAGGCACCTGCACACCAGAGCCTGCAGCATCCTCTGCCTCCTTTGCTTTCAGGAGGTTGGACCTGGTGCAGAACCCAGAGAAGTCCGCGCCCAGCCATGGGGAGCCGCGTTTCTCGAGAAGATTTTGAGTGGGTCGACACGGATGAACCGCATGCGCAGAGGAGACGAGAGATTCTGGGTGAGGTTTTGAGCATATGCTCCAGAGTGTGTGGCTACTGTTCATGCTCCCAACAGAAGGAGAGGCCTGGGCTAGGCTCAGGGTGCTCACAGCTTGGGGATGCATGGGACTTCACAGATCCCCAAGATGAACTGCCTGCTTGGTGAAGAGGCAGGGGCCAGTCCCTGAGCGTGAGCACCCTCAGCCCAACCTGCTGATTCAGGTTAAGATCTCCAGACTGAGACATCCCAGGCCTTCTCCACTAACTAGGGGACTCTTAAGATGTCCATTGGGCAGTGGTTTCTCTAAATAGCCTGCCACTGGAGTGTGAGGCTCAGGAAGTGGTCCTGGGAAATCCTGGGGTCCTGGAGCAAAGTACACATGATCCAATGCAGGTAGGTCCCAGTGAGGGGCAGCACTACCCTGGAACCCAGGGCCTGCTGGAGAGGACAGGTCCTGGTGTGCTCACATCTCCTGTCTTTCTACCACAAACCTGGGACACAAAGGGAAGTTCACAGACAATTCTCATCCTTTTTGGTTGTCAGGGTGAAGAAACTGAAACACAGATGACCAACCAAATACAAAAATACTTGGCTTGTCCTGACATTTGTTGACCGGGCTTTAACACAGACTAACCAGGTCTCACACAGCTCTAGAGTACACAGGGCCCTTCTGTGTTCCCAGGGAGTTCTCTCCTCTCTCCCAGGCCACCCTTCATGACCCACCAGACTTCTGAGTTGGGTTCTCTCCGACACTGCCTAACTTTTCTCATTCCAGTGTTCTGCCTTTCCTGCCTTGTAGAAGATGCAGTGAGAAGGAAGGAGCTCAGTGCTAGGAGGAGGACTGTAACCTGGGTTAGGCTGCCTGCAAAGAACACGCTTCTAACCTGTTCTCTGTTTAAACCAAGGACACTAATGGAGGGGGTTGAATGTGAGGGGCCTCCCTCCAGTGCTGGGGACCGAACCAGGGTCTCACACAGCAGCTCCACACTGTGGCACACCCCCAACCCCTGGAGATCTCTGCTATACACAACAGTTCGCTTTCTCTTGATGTCCATATTCCCAATGAAAAGACCAGACCCCAATGTTTATGAGTGTCTAAAGTTAGAAATTTCTTCTTTTGTGAATGAGTTAACACTAGTGGGTGTGAGAACCTTTGAGTTTCATGTTAAGGCAGTGTTTAAAAGACTTCTGTCTAGTTCTTGGGTTTCTTCTCTCTCTCTAACAACATTGCAGCTTACTTGTACTTAATTTTATAAGATATCAGGTAGTACCTATTATCTACACTTTACATATTGCCTCAGAATCATGTGATATCCACATTTACAAAAACTGACTCTTAAACTTAGCTTTCTCTTCAATAGTCAGAAAATCAAGGAAGCAAGAGAGTGTTAATTGATGCTTTTCTCAGCCTTGAGCCTTTCCCTACAAACTTATCCCTACAACGAACTATCTCACTTGAAAAAGCTGAATGAACTTTATATTTCTTGATGAAATATACTATTTTACCACTCAGTGTTCCATTTCTGGAGACAGAAAAGAAATAACTTTAAGGAAGAAGAGTCTGGGGGTTCATTTAAATTATCTCATCAAAATGACAATGTACTTCTGAAATATATATCTGTATTTTGGGGGAAGAAACAAATCCATACACTTTGAATCTGTAGTTAGAGTTTGTGTTAAAAGTCCATTTCATGTTTTACCAACAACCCCCTAGTGGGTATTCATGGACAAAGGGGATGAAAAGAAACTCCACCCTGCTCCATTCAGATGGGCTTCTACTCCTAAAATGCACTTCAGCTGAAAGAGTGTGTCTGGGGTGCGAGTGCCAAAGAGGGGGTGCTGAGCCTCCCACTGCTGCCCCTGTGAGCCCACACCTCTGAGAGGTCCTAGGCCCTTGCTGCTGCAGAGCCAGCCTCGACAGTGCCCACTTTCCTACACCGACCCCAGCTGCACTGCAGGAGAAGCCGCACTGTGGGGCCCTCCCGCGCCGCCCCCCCTCTCTACAACACACTGTCGGACCACTAGCATGTTGTCGCTGTCCTAACAGTCTAGACACAGTGGCTCTCGCTGACTCTGCATAGCATGTGTTGTGCCAAAGGCATCACTCACAGCCACAGATGGTAGAGGGGGACTCTAATGGAAATAAAGTCAACATTGCATATCAAACTGACACTTTAAGGTACATCTTCAAGGGAAAACCACTCACTTCCTAAGAATTTCATAAAATTGGCAGAAATATCTGATCTACCAGATACACCCAAAAATCTCAAATGTACAAAATTTATGTAAAACTGGATAATACGCTGTCAGAAAAAGAACAAAATTACTTCTTAGCAATAGAATCTATGGGAACTATTGTGAATGAAATACTTAGCAATAGAAGCTGTGGGAACTATTGTGAATGAAATAGTTAGCAACAGAATCTATGGGAACTATTGTGAGTGAAATGCTTGGCAAAGGATTTAGGAGAATGGGGCTGAGGATGTAGCTCAGTGGTTGGGTATTTGTACAGCCTATGTGAGGCCCAGCCAACGTCATACTTAATGGACAAAGAACTGAAAAGAATTTCTGTGCATTCAGGAAGAAGGAAAGGGTGCCAGTCACTGCTCAATTTTGTATAATACTAAGAAGTTTTAAAAAGAGCAAACAGGCAAAAGAGAGACAGGAAATAAAAACAAAGTGGAAGGTCATCTGTTAGGTTTGCCCTGTGACTATATATGTAGGAAAGTAGACTCCACACAAGGCTATTGGAACTGACAAATTCAGTAACATAGCAGAACACCAAATCAACATACAAGAAATACACAACAGGTGACTTGCTGGTCATGGTGGCGCACACCTGTGTACTAGGTACCTGGGAGGCTGAGGAAGAAGGTTTTCATGAATCCCCAAGTTTGAGACCGATCTAGCCAACACAGCAAGAATACATCTTTAAAAACCCTTTACCTCTGGGGCTGGAGATATGGCCCAGCAGTTAAGAGGCTTTACTGCTCTGCAGAAGATCCAGGTTTGGTTTCCAGCACTGACATGATTGCAGATGGACACTTTTCTCGGTCCCGCCCTGGTCCCACAGTCCTGCAGCCACTTTTAAAATAATCACACAGAGGCTTAATATTAATTACATGCTATTTGGTCTATGGCTCAGGCTTCTTACTAGCTAGCTCTCTCGTCTTAAATTAACCCATTTCTATCGATCTATGTAATGCCATGTAGTTGTGGCATTACCGGTTTGCTGGCATGTTGCTCCTTGGGCAGCGGGCTGGCATCTCTCTGACTACACCTTTCTTCTCCCTGTATCTTTGCTTGGATTTCCCATCTAACTATAACCTGTCTTGCCATAGGCCAGAGCAGCTTCTTTGTTAATCAATAGTAGCAACACATATTCACAGCACACAGAAAGACCACCCCACAGCACATGACAGCTCACGAACATCTGTTACTCTAGTGCCAGGGTATCTGACACCTTCCTATAGCCTCTCAGGGTACAAGGCTTACACATGGTACAAACACATACATTCAGGCAAAACACGCATATGGATGACAGGGTTTCTCTGTGCAGCCCTGGCTCTCTAGGAAATTGCTTTGTATAGACTAGGCTGGCTCTGAAATCACAGAGATCTGCCCGTCTCTGTCTCTTGAGTGCTGGGATTAAAGGTGTGCTCCATCATGCCCAGCTGGCATAAAATATTTTTTAATTTAATTAAAAATCCTTATTGTCTCTGTATCCAAAAAAATAAACTTGGTGAGCAGGAGACACTAAGTCAGCCATCCTCGTAGTTGTAAATAGTTAAACAGCAAAGTAAAACTTACCAATGAAATAATAGACTTCAACAATGAAAGTTACATAATATTGATGAAAAATTGAAGTAGATACACAAAATAATGGAAGTATCCACATATATGATTTTTTATAATTTTTTTATACACTGAAATTTTACTCTTATCAACATATTAAAAAAACTGACGCGCCAGGTGGTGCACACCTTTAATCCCAGCACTTGGGAGGCAGAGGCAGGCAGATCTCTGTGAGTTCGAGGCCAGCCTGGTCTACAGAGTGAGTTCCAGGACAGGCACCAAAACTACACAGAGAAACCTTGTCTTGAAAAGCAAAACAAAACAAAACAAAAAACAAACAAGCAAATAAAAAGAAAACGAAAAAACTGACTCAAACTGGGCTTGGTGCCACACACCTTTAATCCAGGCCAGCCAGGTTACGTGGAGGGACCCTGTCTCAAATCAAAATGAAACAAAATAAACCTCGAAATGAATCAAATACCTAAGTGTAAGACCAGAAATAACTGAAAGAAATCATAGGGAATACAAGTGAAGATATTGGTATAGACAAAGATTTTCCAGATTGGAGTTCAAAGGCAAACACACACAAAAAAATTGAGAAACAGTGTTTGACTAAACCAAGTAGCTTCTGTAGAGCAGAGAGAGTAATCAGCAGAGTGAGATGGACAGGCGGACAGAAGATGATGTGCAGAGCGGAAGATAGCTGCCAACTAGTCATGTGACGGGGACTAATAGCTAGAATAGAGGAGGGCCATTTAAAAACAACAACAAAACACCCAAGTAATCCACGTGTAAAAGGAGTAAATGATCTGGAGACACTCCTCAAAACAACAACACCCCCCCCACCCACACACAAATAACAAATGGCCAAGAAATAGATGAAAAAATTCCCGGTATCCTTAGACATCAGAGAAATGCAGACAAACCTACAATAATATCCCACCCCAACTAAAATAACTATCATTGTTTTAATACTGATAAGGATGCAGAGGAAAGGAACTTTTAAACACTGCTATCGGGGTATAAACTATACAGTTATTATGGAAAACAGTATGGATCTTTCTCAAAAAAAATTCTAAAAAATAGTATTATTCCCTCAAAACACCAAGAATAAATTTTCCATCTAATTCTCTCCCGGGGCACTTCCTGCTGCACTCTAAAGTGGATAAAATCAGCATACAAAAGAGATGCCCTCACATTCATATGTGTTGTGGCAGTCACAATAGCTAAATTATGGAATTAGCTGAGGGGCTCACCAACAAGCAGCAAGGATAAAAAAGTGTGATGTGCATACACGATAACATCCCATCACACTATGACAAATAAGAATGAAATGAGCTGGAGAGATATCTCAGAAGTCAATGAAGTGCTTGTCATGCAGGCCGGTGGACCTGGGTTCAGATCCTCAGCACCCACATTAAAACAGGCACAGTTCCAAGTGCCAGCCACCCTGGTACAGGGGCCGCAGGGACAGGAGGATCTCTGGGGCGTTTTGGCTAGTCAATCGAGTCAAATCAGAGAGCACCAGGTTCAGTGACAGGCTCTGCCTCAAAATATAAGGTGGAGAGCAGGAGAGATGGCTCTGCGGCTAAGAGTCTTTGCTCTTGCAGGGCAACCAAGCATGGACGTGATGGCTCACAACCATTTGTAACTCTAGTTCCAGGAGATCTGATGCCCTCTTCTGACCTCCATGTATACCAGACACAGACATGGTGCACATACATACATGCAAGCAAAACATTTATACACATAAAATTAAAAAAAAAAAACCTTTAAAAATGTAAATTATAAGGTGGAGAGTGACTGAAGAGCGACTTCCAACACTGACCTTTACACACAGAACCATACACTTGCTATAATTTGTAGATAATGTAGGGAACTAGAGCTTACTGTGTTAAATGTAACATCAGACATAGAAGGATAAGTACCATATCTCCTTCACAGGTAGAAGCCCAAACAAGTTGACTTGGAAAGGGAAACACTGTTGCTGGAGGTTAGGAAGTGTGTGGAGGAGAGGTGGGAAAGGGGAAGTTAGATTTGATCTGCACCAGGATGTGTGTGCCAGGAACAGAACCTGGCACATGCAAGGTGTGTGAGCACATCCCCCATAGGTGATATCTATATTAAATAAGCATCAAAGAAAATTTTATATTTACTTCCCATTGAACTTTTGGATGAAATAACAAAACTACCTGTTCAAGTTTTAGGCTCAAGGGATTTTTTAAATTTTGAGTATTCCAAATTAATTTCTATGTCCTGAGAATATTTTTTTGAGACATCATCTGTATATAGTCCTGGCTGTTGAGGAACTCATTATGTAGATCAGGTTGGCCTCAAACTCACAGAGATCTGCCTGCCTCTGCCTACTGAGTGCTGGGATTAAAGGCATGCTCCAGCATTGTCCAGATCAACTAGAGTTTCATTAAAATCTATATTATACCTTTTAGAATGTAGCTATTTTTTCCTAATGGTTACATATATTAATATTTCATCTATATCATGTCTTTTGCTCAAGGATAAAGTCACCTAAATTTAAGAATATCTAGGAAATGAATAACTACACTCCTTTATTATAGTACACAGTGTTTCTCATACTATTTATTAAGTGCTCAAAGTACTAAATGGTAAATGATAATTATTTCTTCAAGGGACTAATAATTTACTCAATTTTGATTTGTCATTATTCCCTTACAGGAAGTATAATATTGAGCTAGGAGGCTTTACTTAACATGTATATGTGTGTATCAAGTATGTGATGTCTGGACAGTGAGCCCCAAAGATTCATCTGTCTCTGTCTCCCTAGTAGGGGGATTAAAAGATCATGCTAGTGCTGGGCAGTGGTGGCACATGCTTTTAATCCCAGCACTTGGGAGGCAGAGGCAGGAGGATCTCTGTGAGTTCAAGGCCAGCCAAGGTTGTTACAGAGAGAAACCCTATCTCAAAAAACCACAAAAAAAAAGAAAGAAAAAGGAAAGAAAAAGAAAAAAGGAAAGATCATGCTAGCAAACTTGGCTCTTTCCCTTGGGTTCTGGAGATCAAAGTCAGGTCCTCACGCTTGCATAGCAAACACTTCACCAACTGAGCTCTCTCTCTCCAAGGCCTCATTATAATTTCTTAGGTGTGTTCATTGTAATTTTTTATAATTATAATTGTAGTTTTTCCACTTATGATTCTTATTGTATTTTCTTTTCTTACAGCAAAGTATCCAGAGATAAAATCCTTGATGAAACCTGACCCCAACCTCATCTGGATCATAACTCTGATGGTTCTCGTCAAGCTGGCTTCATTTTACTTAGTGAAAGACCTGGACTGGAAATGGGTCATATTTTGGGCCTTTGTCTTTGGTACCACCATTAACCACTCAATGACTCTGGGGATCCATGAGATTTCTCACAATTTCCCATTTGGCCACCACAGGGCGCTGTGGAACCGCTGGTTTGGAATATTTGCTAACCTTCCTATTGGGGTTCCATACTCGATTTCTTATAAAATGTACCACATGGATCACCATCGATACCTTGGAGCTGATGGCATTGATGTGGATGCTCCTTCTCACTTTGAAGGCTGGTTCTTCTGCACCACTTTCAGGAAGCTTATGTGGGTTGTTTTTCAGCCTTTGTTGATTTTTCTTCGACCTTATTTTGTCAACCCCAAACCAGCTACTTATCTGGAAACTATCAATAATGTGACCCAGATCACTTTTAACATTATAATTTACTATGTTTTTGGAATTAAATCTTTAGTCTACATGTTGACAGCCTCCCTGCTTGGCATGGGTTTGAACCCAATTGCTGGGCATTTTATAGCTGACCATTACATGTTCTTAAAGGGGCAAGACACCAACTCATATTATGGGCCTCTGAACTTTCTCATGTTCAATGGGGGCTACCATAATGAACATCATGACTTCCCTAGTATTCCTGGAAGCCGCCTTCCACAGGTAAGTGAAATTTTGATTTATTGTTTTAGTTTTTGATCATTATATGATCCAAATTAGTCTTCACTTGCTCATTTTGGTTTTTCGGGACAGGGTTTCTCTGTGTAGCTTTGCGCCTTTCCTGGAACTCACTTGGTAGCCCAGGCTGGCCTCGAACTCACAGAGATTCGCCTGGCCTCTGCCTCCCAAGTGCTGGGATTAAAGGTGTGCGCCACCACCGCCCGACTTTCACTTGCTCATTTTTAAAGAAAACTTGGTATATAGTATCAAACAAAAATTCACTTAAAAAATAAAGCATAATGTATATCCAATGTCTGACAACCTAATTTTACTAAAGTTCAGTCTCTTGGATTCTTACATTTGGCCATTAAAATTAGGATTCAGAAGTGTTACAAGATGTGCAAAACTTATTACTTGGTAAAATAACTCAATGGGTTATAAAAAGAAGACATGCAGTTGGAAGGAAACTTTGGCAGGGTCAGGCCTGGTAAGACTAGGGGATTGATATTATCAAATATGCTGCATACATGTATAAAATTCTCAAAGGATTAAATAAAAAGCATCCATCTTAACAAAAGCCCATCAGATCAGCATGATGAACGGGTGTTCATTCTACAAAGGAATTTGATTTTTTTAATTGAGTTATTTTACCAAGTAATAAATTTTGTACATCTTCTAACACTTCTGAATCCTAATTGTGTGTGTGATCTGTAGACTGTCCTTATTCATGAAGAACTGCAGGGAGTCTGAAGGACCATGAGCAAAGGTGTTGCCCTTTGGCTGGTTCAGTATTTTGTCTGTCTGTCTGTCAGACCCTCACCTGTCATCTTGAGGCCTCAATGATACTCACGGTTCACCTTGCTGTGTTTTTTCACTTTCAGGTGAGGAAAATAGCAGCTGAATACTACGACAAACTCCCCCATCACGACTCCTGGGGGAAAGTCTTGTATGATTTTGTGATGGATGACACACTGAGTCCCTACGCCAGGGTGAAGAGGCTTCCAAAAGGGAATGAGGTTCTGGAGTGAATATCACCAGAGCCAAAGAAAACCCTTTCCAAAGCTTTATTATTATAAATGATATGTGGCAATATCTCCCCACCCTGCCTCTCTCACTGGTAATTATCTTAGGGCATCATACATGCGCAGCAAGAGCTCCGCCAATGAGCTCTGTCCCCAGCCTGATTTGGCCTGCTTAAACTTGGACCAGTGATGGTCAGAAGCTGTCTCGCTGCAATTTAAAATCAGATTTCTATGATATCATGAATTCACTCTGGTTTTCAGTCGGCCTGACTGTTACAGTGCTCACCTCCGCTTACAGGGCATTTGCTTATTGAATTATATCATTCCTGGTGGTGTCTTTATCTATGTCTATCACTTTGTAAGCACATCATGAATTGCCTACCTTACGACAAGATTTTTACCATTAAATTTTACTTTAATAAAAAAGCTAACCAAGTGCACTATGAATCAAAATGCATTTACTGTTTTTTTTTTTTTAAATTTCCCTGTCTTTTCTCTATGTTAGATAGTTACACTAGTACTTGGGGAAACTTAACTATAAATTTCCTTCCCATAAAAAGGACTAGAAAGTCTCAGAGAGCATGGTGGTACATACCCATAGTCTTAAGTATGGCTCCAGGAAGGCTGGGCAGGAGAATCACTTGGCGCCCTCTTGAATCTACATACTTGTACCTCAAGCATTTTACCCACCCAGCCATTTCCCCAGTCCTATTCCTTCTGTTCCCAAAGGCTCAGAGAGCAGTGCATGCATATCTTGGGGAAATGACCATTCTGCTTCAATTTAACAACATCACTTCCTTTCAATATGCACATTGGAAAGGGAATGGTCTGTTCCTCATCAAAAGGAAAAGGAAAATGAGGATCCAAAATATGAAGTAAATTCTTTCAGGTTGGCCAGCTTCCTCTTACAGTGGTGGGGAACCAGAACTGGATCTAGTCACCCTTGTTCTAAGTTTAAGGCTTGTCTACTGTCTATAATGACACCCTTCAGTTATATATCCACAAAGAGCCCCCTTGCTTGTGTATAAAAGAAGGGGTTAGGAAGTGGTGTCTTTAGTTGGAAACTGGGTGTCTAACGCTGAGACAGAATTTCAGTAATTTGGAAAAAAAATCATTCACAGTGATGGTTGGTTCCTCCACTCTCCTGTCATCTCACATTCCAGGGGATGCAGCAAGCTGTTTCTGCCTCCAGCTTGGGCTTTCAGAAATAAGGAAAGCCGAGGAGGAAGGAGAAGCCAGGCACGGCATGGCACATACATGCACACCGCACACATCCCCATACTCGTGATGGGCAACCTTGAAGCATCTGGCTCATGCCTCCCTCTTGCACACTGTGTCCTCCCCTCCCTACTCACTGCTGTGGGCCAGCCCCAGCACATTCCTTTGTTCCATGCTCAAGACGGCTGCAAATTAGGGCCTCCTCCACTCCCCCTGTACTGCTTCCAATACAGCCAGCTCCTTCCCTATCCATCCTCAGCTCTCAGCTCAAAGGCCTCCTCTTCGAAAAAACCCTTTCCTATGCAATTGCTTAATTTTTCAGGTTTACTAAAACCAACCCTGAGACAAAATCAGGGTAAAGTGGCTTCCCTGGAGTGTTACCTTAGGGGAAGGGTGAGGGAGTGGGAAGCAGGTCAGAAAAGTAAGAGGAGTACGGGCAAAGGAAGCAGTAGGGACCACAGCGCAACCGGGCTGGAGCAACCAGGCATGGGGAAGAAAGCCAGTGGGCAAGGGAAGCTGGTCCCCTCCCTGACTCCTGGGACAATTCATGGACAGCCTCGCCGATGGCAATCCTTCTGCTCTTCACGGAATTGTACATTCACTGTGTGTTCTCCTTTCTCCGCACATTACAGGAGTTTTAAGTCTCTCCTAGCAGTAAGGAAGCAGAGTAGCACACCGATCAGCTTCAGCCGCTCTTCACTAAGGGCTAGTCTTGGGCTCTTGAGTCTCTGTAATGTGGAAAGGACAGAGGAAGTTCTTAGGCGAGGGGACTCATGCCAACGGCCTTTACACTAAGGGTCACTGTCCTGAGTGGATGGGTAGACAGGAGAGGAGGTGCTGACCAGAAACTGCTGCCTCACAGGTGTTACACCGCCTCTACCAAATCACTCTCTACCCCAAGTCTTAGGGGACTAATGAGGGCCTCCCTGCTCAGTGTGGAAGAGGACCCTGATATGCCTGGAAAGGAAGGAGATCTGGAAAGTGACATTCAGAGTCTAAGGAACGTGCCCACAGTCAGATAGCGCTAAGGCTTGCCAACATCGCCCCCACCCCCAGCCTTTAAGGAGGCAACACTATCAAAAAAAATTAAAAGGTAGCTGGGCATGGTGGCACACACCTTTAATCCCAGCACTCCGGAGGCAGAGGCAGGCGGATCTCTGAGTTTGAGGTCACCCTGGTCTACATAATGAGTTCCAGGAAAGCCAGGGGTTATGCAGAGAAACCCTGTCTGAAAACAATATAAAAACAAAAATTAAAGGCTATAAAATTTGGGGCTGAAGGGATGACTAGGTGGTTGAGAACACTGACTAGTCTTCCAGAGGTCCTGGGTTCAATTCCCAGCCCTCACATGGTGGCTAACAGCCATCTGTAACTCCTGTTCCAGGGGTTCAACAACCTCTTCTGGCCTCTGCAAGCACTGCATACATGAGGTGCATAGACATTTATGCAGGCAAAACACTCATAGACATTAATCTAAGAAAAAAAGAGTTATTTTAAAAGGGGGTAAGACATCATCACAAGATATGAACACAGAGAGAGAGACCTTCTGTGCTCTTAATGTTGCTATTTCCTGGCTTGAGTTAGCTCAAGAAAGGAGGGAGTGTGAGGAGCTAGGCACAGACTGGCCCACTCAGGTTCTGAGGAGCCATTTGTTAGAACTCTTTACTTCGTCCTTCTGTTGCTAACGTTAGTCACAGAAAGGCTGCGAAGTCAACTATGAACACACTGACGAAGGGCCAGCCGAACGCTGCAGCATTGGCGGTTGCTGTTTCTTCTGGTCGGATGGGCTGAGGTGATTACTTTCTATCAGGACATGTGGAAGAGCTTCCTGTTCCGTTTCTCCTCACCCCTTGCCTCATGCGCACAACCTTATCCCAAGAAGGGAAAGGGCTTTGGGCGGAAATCCCTGCGCGGGCATCCCGCTTGTGACTTGCTTTGGCTGTCACGGTCCCCCGGCTCTCCGACAGCTGCTTTGACAGGCCGCCCGAAACACAGGGGCGCCTGCCAGCCTCATTCTAGGCTGCGCCCTGACAGCCCTTCTCGAGCCCCACTGCAGGACAGCTTGGTGGTCTGAAAGTCACCGTCCTGTCCCTGCCTCCCCATCTCCCCTTTGTGGCAGGCTACTCCAGTAGAGCGCCATGGTCGTGGGAAGACTGATGAGCAGGGAAGATGATTAGTCACTCGGTTTGGCAGCTGGCTTTGTAGTTCTCCGACTGGGAAAGTGCGGACCATCCCTCTGGCTTCACTGTGTCCAGTCGCTTGTTTTACCAGCAGTTCTAGTAGCCACACTGCGAAGCAGGAACTCCTGGCATCTCTGCCCTAGTCAACACCTCTGCCTGGGAGCAGCAGATAACAACGTCTGGCATTGTTCCCAGGGACCTTCAAGGTAGCTCAAGCTGTTTGAAGCCACCCACTCCTCAAGGAGGTGCCTTCACTGGATGAGTTCTGCGTCACCTCTGGAAGCCAGCTCAGCCATTATCTAGCAAAGCTCCTCAGAGGCACGTCTCTCTTCCCTTCCCTTCCTTCTGGTCTTTTCCCCAGTCCAGACTATGCACTTCTGTTGTCACGCTGGCTTTGTTTTTTATAATAAAAAGAATTATTTTTTCTTTTCTTTTCTTTTCTTTTTTTTTCCGACAAGGTCTCACTACCTAGCCCAGGCTGGCCTGGAGGTGGTGACCTTCCAGCCTCCGACTCACCAGGAATGGGATAACTGGTACCACCCCGTGCTCCCATTCTTCTTTGTAACATACATGTCCCTAACTCTAGTCCTAGGGGGCTGACTTGGGACTTGGGGCTCTCACCTCCTTACATATTCACCGATGTAACTCTTTCCAAACCCCAAATGTTGACCATTGGAACCCAATGTTCAAAGTGCAACATTCCTCATAGTGGGCAACAGGGCCTCCCTCCCCCCAGTGATGGAATTATAACAAACATGGCTGCAATAATACCTGAGGAGAACCAACTTGAAAAGAGGACATGCTGGATCTGGAGCGGAGCTCTAGAGGTGTTCAGCCCATGGGAGGTTTTCCCTTGCTTTCTGCTACTGGGGGCTCATTGGCTTTGGCACCCTAGCAGACACCTTCCAACTCAGCAGGAGCCAAAGGGGGAGAGGACAAGAACAACAACCATCTCCAGTGACCTAGCTCCCATCCCTACAGACCTCACTTCTTCAATAAACACCTGTAAGCTGGTCTTCATGGGTCAAATCTATTATCCAATTATTCAGTGTCTGAGACAGGATGATCTCGTGTTCAAGATTTCCTGTGCTGTAGAAGGAACTCAAGGGCATTCTAGACAAAAAATGGGGTTCCTGAGGCTAGGAATATTGCTCAATGGTAGATCACTTGTCAAACACCCTTAAGGCCCTAGTTTTAATACCAGTATCATAAATAAATGAATAAGCAAATATTTGTGGCCCATTGACTTAGAGTCTTTTGGGTATATTCCCAGGAGTGGTATTTTGCTCTAGGTTTAAACATGAATGTATTGTATAATTTTATATTGCTAAATGTATAGCTGGAAACTGTGGGAGTTCTACTTTTAGTTATCTTTTTTTTTTAACACACGCTAATCTTCATAGTTGCTTCACTAATTACAATACACACAAGTGTGTGGGTGCCTATGGAGGCCAGAAGAGCGGCTCAGATCCCCTGGAGCTGGAGTTACAGGGGGTTCTGACCCAGCCAATGTGGGTGTTGGGAACTGAATTACTGTCCTCTGTAAGAGAACAAGTGCTCTTAACCACTGAGCCATCTCTCCAGCCCTTGTTTTCTTAATGATATTCTGACTGGGGTGAGATCGAACCTCAATATAGCCTTGATTTACAATTTCCTGATGTCTAAGCATGTTGAGCCTTTATTCATGATTTTCAGCCATTTTTATGCATTTCATCTTTTGAGAAATGTCTATTCATTTCATTAGTCCATTAATCAACTGGATTCTTTGTGGGAATATTTTGATATTTAAAAATTTAAATACTCTACATATTAATCCCCTATCAGATATACAGTTGATAATTTTCCCTCCCATTCTATAGGCTGTCTCTTCACTCAGCTGTTTCCTTTGTTGTGAGGCTTTTAAAGTTTATGCAATCCCATTTGTCAATGCATGCTTATTATTTTCTGAGCTATTAGAGCCTTTTCAGAAAGAACTCACTATGCCTATATCTTGAAGTGTTTTGCTTATGTTTTCCTCTAGTAATGTCAGTTTCATTTTTATTTTTTACTCTAGCTAAGAGTTCTAACATTATATTAAATAAGAGTCAAGAGAGGAGACACCAGGAATGTCTCATTACTATTTTAGAGAAAAATGCTTTTTTATTTTACCTTCATTTACCATATTTTTTGACTATAGATTTACCACACTAGTGGTACATTACTTCTAAATTCAGGGTTTTTAATCATGAAGGGGATGATCATCTTTGTTAAAGGTCCTTTCTGCATCTATTTGGATGACCATAAGACTTTTCTCTATTTTTTAATGCTGCATATTTCATTTTTAATTTGCATATGTTGAACCATCCTTGCATCCCTTGAATGAAACCAACTTGATCATGGTGAATAATTTTAAATGTATTGTTGGCTTCAGTTTGCAAGCATTTTATTGAGATGTTTTGTTATTTTTTGTTTCATTTCTGTTTTGTGGTTTTTGAATAGGGTTTACTCTTTAGCTCTGGATGGCCTGGAACTCACTCTGTAAACCAAGCTGGCCTCAAACACACAGAGCTCTGCCTCCCATGTGCTACATTTAAAGGCATGTGCCACATGTCTGGCTAATTGTAAGTTTTACACCCATACTCATCAGGATCATTGGTTTACAATCATCTTTTTACCTGTACTTCCAGTTTAGGTGTCAGAGTTAATACTAACTTCATAAAGTGAGTTTGGTAGTTCTTTCCTTTGTGTACTATGGAATAATTTGAAGATTAATATTAGTTCTTCAATTAGTTCTTCAATAGTTCTCAAAAGATATGGTAGAATTCAGCAGTGACTCCATTCAGTCCTAGTTGGTTTTATTTGGGGAGTCTTTTTTATTATTGCTTTAATTTTATTGCTCATTATAATTTGCTTCAGTTGTTTAAACACCATTAATTTATTTTTGATAGTCCATCTATTTCTGCACATTTACCTATTTCTTCTAGATTTTCCCATACATTGGAATACATGATTTCAGGGTATTCCTTATTGATCTTCTGGTTTTAATGGGTTATATCTCTTGTAATGTAATATCGTCCCTTTCCTTTTCTAATTTTCTTGATTTGGTTCTGTCTTTTGTTTGGTTAAGGGCTTGTTAGTCTTATTTACCTTTTCAATAAATCAACTGTTTCACTGATTATCTTATTCTTTTCATTTCCATTTCATTGATTTATCTTTATTATGCCTTTCTACCTTATCGAGTTTATTCTGTTCTCAATCCATGTCCTATACTGATAGGTGAGAGAGAGGGCGTGAAGAATATGAGAAAGGACAAAAATAGTCTACAAAATTAGGTAACAAGTAAGAAAAGTCAAAAGGGGAAGGAAAGAGAAGGGGGACAACACATAATAAAACACTATATGCATACATTTCAACTGCTCTATCTAATCTTTGATTTAGTCTCTATATGTCTTAGTCAGAGTTTCTATTGCTGCAAGGGAACACCATGACCAGAAGCAAGTTCAGGAGGAGAGTGTTGATTTCCACAGCATTGTTCATCATCAAAGGAAGTCGGGACAGGAACTCAAATA